GCTGCTCCTCGCCCTGATGAAGTGGACTGCAAGGTTCACGAAACGTTGGCATTCCAAGAATGGATTTGAACACGGAGAAAACCCGCGAAACACAAGATTGTCATATAGGAAACACCCGTGAAAGCCTCAAGAATATCTACTAGAATTCTTATTTTTACCAGAATAATTATATTAATCAGAATTCTATTTATCTCAACTAGAATTCTAATAGACGTAACCAGAAAATTCTGATTCTTCCATTTTCTACCAGAGTTACTGTTTGATCCAACCAGACTATTTTTCTCAGTGCTTCTATTCGTATTCTTCCTCTCCTCAGTCCTCACCCATACTCTTTTCCCTTCCACCATTTCCCTTCTGGCTATTTCTCCTAGTCTATACCTTATTTTCCTCTCCCTCCATATTAGATTCTCCCAAACTCTCTTTTCTTCTCTTTAAGTTTTTTTTCTTTCCCATTATTTCTCTTTTGTTCTTCATTCGCTAGCTTAATTAAAAGCATCTCCCCCTTCTTCTCTCTGTCCCTTCCCCTATTTTACTTCCACTTTTACTCCTATCCCCCTTAGGATCTCCACCACCGTTTCCCTTCTCTTCCCCTCCCTTACTTCTACATTCTTTATTATCAGAATTATTCAGTTCATATATAAAATATTATTGTACTGTTGAAAACAAACAAAAAAATAGCAATTTAATTTCGATCATTGGCAATTCCAATTCAAAAGTTAATAAATTTAGAGAAACCAATTACAAATACAGAGTCAAATATATATGAAATTAACATAAACTTTTCTAAATTTGATCAATTAACTTTCGAATTTTCGACACCCAATGAGAAATGGTTTATCAATCTGACGAGTTATAACATATCTATTGAAGTTCAATGCCTTTTACAATTAGATGAAAGATATTGAAAATATATAAATCATAAATTTTGTAACGAAAACGACGCACACACCTGCTGACACTTTGACTCTAGAAAAAACGCTTTTAGCGCGAATGGCTCTTAGATGCATATTAACGGTCCGATTAAAAACCTAACCATTTCTATCGATAGTTGAACTGCTTTAAAGTATCCAGTCGATGGCAGGTATGCGTCCTTTCGGTGTCAGGAAGGTTCTGAAATTTAATGTGAAAGATAATGCTCGAGTCATTTTGACCCAGAAGAACCACGAAGGGTTAAACTGCCTTTAGGATTGTTAATAATTAGATTGTGGATATTTATGCAAAATACTTAACTGAATATTAACCATCGGACAGTTTTAGGAGTCGTTCGTTATTCATTAAAGAGTTATTAAAAAATAAAGTAAAAAGGTTGAGATTGTCATCTGTAAATATGCAATTTATACAAAATATGCATTTTATGCAAAATATTCATGATCTTAAGTATTTTACATAAATATCCGCAGTCTATTAATAATTGTCATACTTGCACAGTTATAAATACGTAAAATTTAATGTTTTAACTTTAATTTAGAATGAAATTCCTATATATTATAATTTCTATTTTGATATAACAGGGTACTCCTGAAGTATTCATCGAATTTTTTTAATGCCGATTTTTTTGGTTATTCTCGAGTAAAAAAAAATATCACAGCGTTTATCAACATGCGACTTGTGTTATAAATTTTTGAAAATCCGAAAAATTCAGATTGCCCTTTTCAAGGAAAACTTGTCAAGGAAACATTTAGAAAATTTTTTTCTTTTGCAATAAATAGATCGTTTTGAGATTTCTCTGTCTAAAAACATACGTGCCATTAATAGTTCTTGTACGCGAAACTAATTTTTTAACTATTTAGAAACGTTTTAATATTGTTTTTGTAGGAAATATTATGATATTGATTCTAATTGTTTGAAAGCAGTAACAAACATATTACACAACAGAACATTTACTTTAAAGAAAAAAAAAAGTTGACGAATCTCAAATGCGAATCCGATTCGTAGGAGCGAATCGTTCAATTTTTCGGATTTTCAAAAATTCATAACTCGAAAACAAAGCCGCATGTTGGTTAACGCTGCGACATGTATGTATATTTTTTTGACGTCAAGAATCATCACTAAAAATTGTTATCGAAAAACTGGAATACTTCTAGGGTTGTAAGCAAAATTGAATTTTTATGGCGAATAGATCTATGTATTCTGTAATTTATTTTGTATGATGCCATTTATTTGACGATTGTAATTTCACTTGTATCTATTCATTTTAGGTGGGAAACTCCATGGGCTAAAATGTTTCCATTAAGACTACTTTTACGACTTGGAGCGGAATATCGTTATTATCCTTGCCCATTGGTATCTGTTCGTTTTCGAAATGCGTTATATTTTGAGATTGGACACACTGTTATGAAAGTATTAGCAGATTTTAGAAATTTTGGATATACTTTGCCAGGAGTGAGGGGCTTAACAATTCACCTTAAAAATCGTACAACGGACGTTATGTTTCCTAGAAATCGATACGACCAAGTTATAAAAGGACTTCATAATTCGAACGATCACGTCTTAGCTTATGCCTCAAATTTTAGTATAACCGCTGATTCACATTTAGTTTGCATACAAACAAATACTAGTGACGAGAGCAGTTATCAAACGCAAGCGATAAACATTCACAACAAACCAAGAACAGGTAAGAGGTTGTAAGCAGTTGATATAATGATATCTAAAGAATATAATTTTTCTATTTATGTAGTAACTGGCGCCAGTTTCATCGTCATCAATGGTGCTCTAAAATCTTCCATGGGTCTTTCTGCCAAATCCAGTATTGTTGAGGATGGATTAATGGTAGAAATAATGCCAGAGAAAATGGAAGCTTTGAAAGCTGCTCTCAAAAACATGCAAGATTTTTCGATCGGTTGTGGACGTCAGGGAGCATTGGAACCGGACGAAGTTGTAAACATAAAGTGGGTCGATAATGATATGCTGTTTAATCTAAGGTAAATTCTTTCGATAAATTTTAATCATTGTTATTATACTTAAGATATCTGCACAAACTTTGCGAATACTTATTTCTTCTTCCCTGTTTTCTTCCTTTTCTCTCTCTCTCTCTCTCTCTCTCTCTCTCTCTCTCTCTCTCTCTCTTGAAAACAAATTTTTGTTACATCACGCTATTTGTTAATACATATATACGAGGGTCGTCTGAAAAGTTTTGAGCCTCATCATGAAGATGACGTTACTCGTCAAAGCCATTCTGGTATTATAATCGTGATACTTACGAAAAATATCTGTGACAATTGTGGCCACTTTGGACGTTCAGTTCTTGTTTGACAATCATTTGTGTCGTCATTTTGTAAAAATGGAAAAAATTGAATATCGTGCTATAATTAAATTCTTGCATTTGAAAGGCAATACGTCTACGCAAATTAAAGCCGATTGGACGCTGTTTACGGGGACTCTGCCCCATCATTTGCCACCGTGAAAAGATGGGTAGCTGAATTTAAACGTGGTCGTACCAGCTTAGCTGATGATGAGCGTTCGGGACGGCCAACAACTGCGACCACCACCGATAACATCGAAGAAATTCATCTAATGATAATGGACAACCGTCGAATTAAGATTAAGAGCAGAGGCTGTTGGCATATCAAAAGAACGTGTCATATATTGACTGAAGAATTAGGCATGCGTAAGTTAACCGCGCGTTGGGTACCGCGCTTGCTCACTTTGGATCAAAAACGCATTCGAATGAACATTTCTAAGGCCCTCTTGGAGCGGTTTAAGCGAAACGAGTCGGATTTTTTGCGTCGATTAATAACGGTTGATGAAACTTGGGTCCACCACTTCACTCCTGAAACGAAAAAACAGTGGACTGCGAAGGTTGAACCTACTCCGAAGAAAGCGAAGACGGTTTTATCGGCGGGAAAGGTGATGGCGACTGTTTTTTGGGACAGTCATGGAATTGTGTTGATCGACTGTCTTGAAAAAGGTAAAATAATAACAGGGATGTACTACGCATCATTGCTTGATAAGCTGAAGGCAGAAATTGAGAAAAAACGACCGCATTTGAAAAAGAAGAAAGTGCTGTTCCATCAAGATAACGCACCGTCTCACACTTCGGCGGTCGCTATGGCAAAAATTCAAGAATTGCGGTTCGAATTAATTGACCATCCACAGTATTCACCAGATCTGGCCCCCAGCGACTTTTTTTCTGTTTCCTAGGCTCAAAGTTTGGCTCGAAGGACAGAAATTTTCATCGAACGAGGAAGTCATCGCATCTGTAGACGCCTATTTTGTAAAGCAAGACCCTCAGTATTATTTGAATGGATTAAAGGGGTGGGAGCATCGCTGGAAAAAATGTATCGACTTAAAAGGAGACTATGTGGAAAAATAAAATTGAATTTGAACGAAAAATTACTTGTTTCTATGTTAGGCTCAAAACTTTTCAGACGACCCTCGTATGCACACATTTTTGTACGCACTCATACTTGTGCACATATTAATTATTTCTTCCATTTTTCTCTATTTCTACCCTTAGATTATTATTATTATTTTTTATTATTTTAATTTTTTTATTATTATTATTTTCTTTCTGTTATTTGTGATGTTATGTGATATTACAATTTACAGCATGATAAATCCATGTATAAGTTTTTTTTTACGCCTGAGGGGATCTGTCCAACACAAGGCGTGTAATAAATAACTATTTCTCTCTCTCTCTCTCTCTCTCTCTCTCTCTCTCTCTCTCTCTCCCCCTCTTTTCTCCTCCTCTACCTCCTTTTGCTCCCATTTCTTTTCTTTTTCTCTTTCTCACACGCACTTAAGTGTGTGCGAAAATAAATCTTTCAATATGCAATATATAAATATATTTATGTAATATTAGAATTCTCTTTTTTTCTCTTACTTCACTATTAAACACATTAAATATACACCTTTCTTTTGTTATCAGTGTTAAAAGTCCCATTGATGGACAATTAATGGATGGTATACCATCTATTAGAGTGCATAATGGTATTGATTATAAAGGTGCAACCCGATTTATACGCTGGACGGAAGTATTTATTATAAAAGTATGTATTTGTATTACAGAAAAGTATTTTGAATACATAATATATAAATATATATATATACTCACAAGGTGTCTGGAATTTAAATGTCAAAACTTTGGCGTGTAGGGGATTGATAAACTAAGAAAAAAAGTTCTGTTATATGCTCGTTTTTGTTTCGTTTTGAAGAAAATTGCAAAAAAGATAAAACGTAGTTGCTTCGTTCTTGCACTGCCTCTAAAGTATTATCGTCGCTAAAATCGTACACGAAAACAATAATAATAATTTCGTTTTCGGGTAAAAACTTTTTTGTTTGTTTTTATCTAGTGGGACTATTTTTTTACCCGACAGATAAATGCAGCCAGATATACAGATTTTTTGAAGACCGACTTCTTTGATTATTTAGAAGACACCCACCTGCAGCAACGGATTGAAATGTGGTTTCAACTTCATGGGTGTCCAAGCTCATTATGGCAGAACTATTCGAGCTTGGCTAGACAGACATTTTCCACATAGATTGGACGTGGAGGAATAGTACCTTGGCCACCTCGATCACCTGATCTGACACCACTGGACTTCTTTATGTGGGAAGTTCTGAAGCAGGAAATTGATTCGTCGTCATTCAACTAAAGAGAATAATTGAGAAATCGAAGCTGTAGTACACCAAATATCGTCAGATCAGTGTTTAGCTGCAACACAAGCTGTCCATACTAGATGCAATGCTTGCATTGCTGCAAGAGGCCAACATTTTGAACAACATCTACATTAAGCAAGTGAATAAATACAACGTGAATAAGTAATGAGAAAGTACAAAACTGAAACCTACGTTTTCTTTTTTGCGATTTTCTCAAAAACGAAGTAAAAACGAGCATATCTCTACAGAACATTTTTTTCTTAGTTTATCGATCCCCTACACGCTCCCGAAGTTTTGACATTTAAATTCCAGACACCCTATATACACTGAAAAAAAATTTGCTAAATTTTAATAAATGTTTGTTTCAATAGTACTAACGAAATATTTATTTACAGTAAATAAATATTTACTCAAACTAAAACAGTTATGCTTAAATCAAATAAACACATGTTTACATTTAGTAAATATTTCGTTAGCACCATTGAAACAAATATTTATTAAAATTTAATAAATTTTTTTAGTATATAAATTAGATTAGTAAAATATATATGTATATAAATTAGATTAGTAAAATAATATTATTTTAAAAGTCAGATGATCACTCGAGTGGCGTGAATGATCCTGTAGATATAAATAAACTATCTGGCAATATAGCAAAAGCGACATGTGCAGCATTAGTTAAATTACTGGATCTTCTGGCAACAGCAGGTTTAACAAAGCTTGGTGTGCGGACAACGATTCATCCAGATAACTTATATATATATATAAACACAATCATATATATATATAGGTGGGATATGAAGCTGGAAGCGAAGGAACAAAATTACCGCCAATATATATGAAAAGTTTAGACAATGAATTGATTCAAGTTTTACATAAAGCTGTGCAAAGCAGTCAGGATGCATATACCGTGCTTGAATTGATATTTTATGTGCTTGAGGATTAAAAGGGATATACAGTCGCTGATAATATTGAAAAATTTTCATTGAACTGGGAAGATGTGCAATTGCGTTGAACATCATGGTGTAGTGATTATATAATTTCTATGTTATTTTTTATTGTATATTTTGTTTCATATTATTTCCAATTTGACTATTAAAACCGTGAATGAAATATTTTTAATTTTATTACAAAGTATTTAATGTGTATAAAACATATTATAAATATGAATTAATAATCGAAAAGAAACTGCGATATGTAATGATGATAACTTTATTGATTCAAAAAAATTTTAGCTTACATTTTTTGCTCCTAAGATAATATTATATATTAAATATAATAAATGGTAATGTAATGCAAATATATGTATCATGAGTATGACAAAAATATCTTCTTTATATGTAGATGGAAAAATTATGGTAATGTTGACAATTAATAATGGATATAATTAATATTATATTTGTATTATATCAATTAATATTGCATCGTGTGTGTGTACGTGTGCAGGTGCGTACGTCCGTGCGTGCGTACATGCGTGTGCGTGTATTTGAAGTTTTATTATATAGATAGAATATATATTCGCAGAAATATATTTCTTGTTTAAATCTCTTGAGTAGTCGCCGTGGCCGCAGTGATGCACATTCTCGCTCTCACGCAGCGGCTTCGCGAGAGGGAGCGAGACAGCGAGAGTGGTGGGGATGATTCTCGTGTTGCCCGGGAGCCAGATGTGCATCACTGCGTGGCCGTATTAAATCATGACGTCATAAGCTAGAAACAATACATTGATTTTTGTTACATGAGTAAAGACAATTTAGATAAACAATACGAATCTTATTATATCATACGTGTGAGAACACAATCAATAAAAAATAGGAATTAAAGGCTCATAACGATTGAAGCTGGATAGAACAATAGAATGAGATCGCTTTAAAACACTTGTATAAATGGATCAAAGTTGTACTTTCGTCCTGACAGTCAGTAAATAGTAAAAGGCATGTGAAAATGGGCTGCGCATTGAATAAATGCATTTGACATCCCTTTTACCACTTTTTATGACTATTTACTGATTATTAGGAGAAACAAGAATAGTTTCGATCCATTTTTACAAGTGTTTTAAAGCGATTTCATTATTTCGTTTTATACAAATGATGTTTATTTACAAACAGTATGTAACAAAAGTTAACGTCTCATTTTTCGCTTATGTCACGATTCATATCCGCGGCAACCCAGGAATTTTTATTTAGAACGCGTTTTAAATTTATATATAAAACAACTGTTAATATTTTCACAAAAAAATTAACATTATTATGGATTAGTAATTTATTATATATATATGTACGAGTATATATATATATATACAAATTTGCCGCACACGTGTGTACAGCGACACATATTTATATAGGGGGTGTCTAAAATTTTTTCACACACCTCTTGTGGGCGGGTAGAGCAAACTAAATTGAGTCGAAAAGTTTTCTATTTTACAATTTTCGCAATTTTTCTTCGTTACTTAAGCAGTATACCAATGATAATAGAATATCTAAAATCGATGCATAAAACAACTTTAAAGTGGTTTTTTTTGGTAAAGCGCCGCAAATTTGAGATCTTAGAGTCCACTCAAAATCACAAATATCTGCATAATTTGGATAAAATATGAAAACTACGTGTATATCTTAATGAAATAGTATGAAGTATATAAGATGGTAAATCATATAAGAGCTACATCTTCACAAAACGAAAACAAGGTAACGTTATGTTTACTTTTCGAGGTTAAATTTATATGCAAGTTTATGCATGTATATATCTTTCCAGAATAGCCGTTAATCTATTACTTTTTTGTATCATTACAATCGTAATTTTATAAACTATAATAAAAATAACCTAACTAAGGGCTAATAAGAGTTAGCGCGAACGGAGGTGCGCAATTAGTCTCACAAATAATTTTGTTAGTCCATTTGATGTGATGACCTTATCTATATTTGAAATCTTGAAATCTTGTACGTTTCGATTTTTTTTTGAATCCTCATCAGCAAACTTCTTAGATAAAATTAGATTTCACGATCGTTCAATGTGGAGTCACTCGCAGGTTGCCAAAGCTGAAGTGTTATCTGTTTAAATTCATATAAATAAGACAATGACAATGAACAACCATGTGATTTAAACGAGTAACTCACCCATTCGATCGCCAAATCTCAACATGAAACTTTGGATAATGCTTCTATATTCGCTAATTAACGCATTTTTATAAAATTTGTTTAACTCCGTCTAATACACCACGGAGCAGCAAATATGTCTGACATGATTTTGTTCATAAAGGTCGGCACAACGGTAACAGTAAATCAAAATAAAAATAATTTATCTAGAACGTATATTCTTATTTCAACGCAAAATTATAACCTAAATAACTTAACCTATTTAACATATATAATGTTGTGTCATAGATGTACAAAATAAAAGACTAGAAAATTAAGTTAGATAGAAACTCAAACCAAAGTTAAGAATCGAGATCGTAAATTTAAAATATATCGTCAATATTTAAAACACATCGTCTTAACTTTATCCTTAAAATCATATAATCTGACAAAAATTCTATAACTAAATGTAAAAATAGATGTATAATATCTTGAGGTATAATTACAATTTTTCCGTCATAAAATAAACATTATGTCATTTACTCATTTAATATAGATGCATAAGCATGATGTAGTCCATCTGTATCAGACCGTAAATTCAGTCCATTTTTTTGCATATGTATATGTACTTTTTCTGAAATAAGTCTCTTATTTAATATTCTTTCTGAATCCAATATTTTAACGTTCTCCCAATCGAATTCATGATTGTATTCCAATCTATGATCCGTAATTACAGATTGACTATTTGTATTCCAATTTATGCGATTATGATGTTCGTTAATCCTTGTACTTAGTTTTCTACTCGTTTGACCTACATATTTGCATTCTATTTTATATACAACGTTTTTATTCGAATTTTTTGGAAGAACGTCTTTCTGTACTCTAATAAATTTGTTCTATTTATTCTTACTACAAAATGCTAGTTTTAAATTTTCGTTTCTACAAATGGTTATGAATTTTTCTGCGTTTGTCCAATTATACGGTATTAGAAACCAAGGAACTCTTTCCACAATACTATTATCTTTAGAAATATCCCACCTCGTCTCTACCAAATTGCGTTCAAAAAATAAATATTTTAGTCTTTTGGAAATTGTCTCAAAAATAAATTCTACTGGATAGTTATTTTTTAATAAAGTGTTGATTATAAACTTAATATTCTTTAGGTGGAACTTCGGATCCGAAAGTGATATCGTCTTATCAATCATACCTATAATTATGCCTCTTTTATGAGTCATTGGATGTGCCGAGATAATTCAAGTATCTACCATACCCGAGAATGTTGGTTTATGAAACCAGTCAAACTCTAATACAGTATCATTTTTAATTATTGTGATGTCTAAGAAATTTATTTTGTCCCCTCCAACAGTAAATTTTAATCTATTATGAATCGAATTGAACGCTAATACTAAAGAATCTATTGAGTCTGAAGGAACCGCTGTCACAATATCATCAACATATCTGATGTAAAACGGCAAATCCATATACCCATATTATTTCGGATCCGAAGTTCCATCTAAAGAATATTAAGTTTATAATCAACACTTTATTAAAAAATAACTATCCAGTAGAATTTATTTTTGAGACAATTTCCAAAAGACTAAAATATTTATTTTTTGAACGCAATTTGGTAGAGACGAGGTGGGATATTTCTAAAGATAATAGTATTGTGGAAAGAGTTCCTTGGTTTCTAATACCGTATAATTGGACAAACGCAGAAAAATTCATAACCATTTGTAGAAACGAAAATTTAAAACTAGCATTTTGTAGTAAGAATAAATAGAACAAATTTATTAGAGTACAGAAAGACGTTCTTCCAAAAAATTCGAATAAAAACGTTGTATATAAAATAGAATGCAAATATGTAGGTCAAACGAGTAGAAAACTAAGTACAAGGATTAACGAACATCATAATCGCATAAATTGGAATACAAATAGTCAATCTGTAATTACGGATCATAGATTGGAATACAATCATGAATTCGATTGGGAGAACGTTAAAATATTGGATTCAGAAAGAATATTAAATAAGAGACTTATTTCAGAAAAAGTACATATACATATGCAAAAAAATGGACTGAATTTACGGTCTGATACAGATGGACTACATCATGCTTATGCATCTATATTAAATGAGTAAATGACATAATGTTTATTTTATGACGGAAAAATTGTAATTATACCTCAAGATATTATACATCTATTTTTACATTTAGTTATAGAATTTTTGTCAGATTATATGATTTTAAGGATAAAGTTAAGACGATGTGTTTTAAATATTGACGATATATTTTAAATTTACGATCTCGATTCTTAACTTTGGTTTGAGTTTCTATCTAACTTAATTTTCTAGTCTTTTATTTTGTACATCTATGACACAACATTATATATGTTAAATAGGTTAAGTTATTTAGGTTATAATTTTGCGTTGAAATAAGAATATACGTTCTAGATAAATTATTTTTATTTTGATTTACTGTTACCGTTGTGCCGACCTTTATGAACAAAATCATGTCAGACATATTTGCTGCTCCGTGGTGTATTAGACGGAGTTAAACAAATTTTATAAAAATGCGTTAATTAGCGAATATAGAAGCATTATCCAAAGTTTCATGTTGAGATTTGGCGATCGAATGGGTGAGTTACTCGTTTAAATCACATGGTTGTTCATTGTCATTGTCTTATTTATATGAATTTAAACAGATAACACTTCAGCTTTGGCAACCTGCGAGTGACTCCACATTGAACGATCGTGAAATCTAATTTTATCTAAGAAGTTTGCTGATGAGGATTCAAAAAAAAATCGAAACGTACAAGATTTCAAGATTTCAAATATAGATAAGGTCATCACATCAAATGGACTAACAAAATTATTTGTGAGACTAATTGCACACCTCCGTTCGCGCTAACTCTTATTAGCCCTTAGGTTATTTTTACTATTTTGATCAAAGAGAGTTCTTGTTTTAACATATTTATCATTTTTATAAACTATTATAATCTCGTTTTTTAGAGAAATCTATGGTAATATTTGTGTGCAGTTAGTTAAAGAAGTGTCTCCGATCCTTATTTGTCACTAAGTTATACGTTAAAAGTTACATTTTCAACACTTTTTTCTCTTATTTTATCGTTAACCTACCCTAGAATTTGGCATACGTCAAATTCTGTACTTCAAGTTCATTATATAAAGAAATTAGACATTTCTATGATAATTCGAATTACTAAAGAACCATCTTGAGATATTTTTCTTTTACTTAAAACTTTAAGATATTTTATAAAGAACTGTGAAAGTATCTTAAAGTTAAGTTTTATGCGTCGATTTTACTCACTTATTCGGCAATTTTTAGAAATTAATATCTCGTTAATTGTTGCGAAAATTGCAAACTAATACAAGACTGTTTAACTCAGCTTAGTCTAATCTACCTGCCCATAAGTAGTGTGTCAAAGAGTTTAGGACATTCCGTATATTTTACAAAATTCATAATAAATAGACATTTATTCGCTATTGTAATCTAAAAATAACCTGCATTATTTTCATAAAAATTCTTTATAAACGTTGAGATTTTTTGGCCTGTGCTAATAATTATTAATAATTAAATTGCAGAAGAATTGCTACACGCAGAAATACACACAATACAATGTCAATGTGTATTTGTAAATATCTTTTCATTGATGTATTTCTTTACTAACAATGATTTATATAGCAAGTTTTTTTAGTATAAAATACCTTGTAATACAGTACTATAATTATTATTGTATTTATTCTTATATAAACTTGTTAGCTATATACATGGTATCTCAAAATTCGAGGATAATATTATATCAGCGTGAAACTTTGTAAAAAATTAAATAATAAAAGTGCAAGTCATTTTTTTTTATGAAGTAGTTTCTTACGTATAAACGTTTATAGTTTGACTAATCATAAGCATCGATTATACAGTCATTTGTCCGTACGTGCAATGATATTAGATCAGGCCTGTCCAATTTGAGCTCCGGAGTCAAAACGCAAAGCCATCGACGTAAAAAAATTCTATGTAAAATTTTAGGAACTAGAAACTATTGATAAGCATCGCTTAGATGCATATATCAACACTTTACAATCCCCAAAATCTTATCCACATTGAATTTTTTTACGTTGATGACTTTGCGTTTTGGCTCCGGAGCTCAAATTGGACAGGCCTATATTAGATGTTAAACAAAATATTACCGCTGAATGCATACTATAACACGGACAGATAATTTTTTAATCACCATTTATGATTAGTCAAAATTTAAACGTTTATATTTAAGGATATTTTATACATATTTTTAAAATCATAAATTACGAAAAAATTACAAATTATTTTAAATCACTTTATAAAAAACTACAAATTTGGTGATGGTTTACTATTTGGATCATAAGTTATTTTAATGAATATTTTTTAAATCTGTGCTCTAATAAAAAAATATATATATTTACACAGAGTGGTCCACTTAAATCGACCATCTGAAATATTTCACTTATTTTTGATGATATAAAAAAATGTTTCAAATGAAAATGGAAAGGTTTCGAGGGGGACGCATTTTGGTCATGTTGGTTTTTTTTAGGTGGAGGCGTCAAAAAGAAATGAAGGTTATAAATAACTTATCGATGCTTTAAAAAAATATGTATACAAAATGGATAATTTTTTAAATAAGCAACTATGTGTTTTTTTTTCCACCAACTGATTCATCTCATTATTCTGTTTGTAAAAGTATTAAGGTACGATTATCAAAAAGTTAATAGTTTACGAGTTATTTAATATTTTATGTCAATATGTGCCAGAATAAAATGTAAAATATCTCGTGAACTATTAGTTTTTTGATATTACTACCTTAATACTTTTATATGCAGAATAATTAGACGAATCATATTGTGTAAAAAAATCATACAGTTCCATTTTAAAAAAGTGGAGGTAATCTTCATATCGTTTTGATGCCTCCACCTAGAAAAAAAACAACATGACTAAAATACATCCCCCTCGAAACTATTCCACTTTCGTTTGAACATTTTTTTGTATCATCAAAAATAAGTAAAATATTCAAGATGTTCGATTCAAATGGACCACCTTGTATATATATTTATTCTATTATAAAATAAATGATAAAAATCTCAATCTTTTATTATAATATAAGTATATTAATATTCTTGAGGCTTTCACGGGTGTTTACTATATGACAATCTTGCGTTTCGCGGGTTTTCTCCGTGTTCAAATCCATTCTTGGAATGCCTTGGCATTCCCTCGTCCTGATGAAGTGGACTGCAAGGTTCACGAAACGTTGGCATCTCAAGAATGGATCTGGACACGGAGGAAACCCGCGAAACGCATAACCTTTATACAGAAAGCACCCGTGGAAGTCTCAAGAATGCTATCATGCTGTTCATTAAATGAATCCAAAATTTGATTGATCTTATCTTTAGGTGTGATCATAAAGACATCATCGACATATCTAAAGTAAGTAGAGAGAGAGAAACCCGAAATTCTAAAGAATTTAATACTTTCTTCTAAATCCTCCATCACAATGTCAGATATGATAGGGGAAAGGGGAGAACCCACACATAGGTGTGTCAAATGTTTGTTTGTAAATGATCTCATTAAAAGTAAAATATGTCGATGTTAAGACGAATTTAACCGAATTGATAAATTCATTCTTTGGTATGTTCGTGGCACATTTAATGGAGTTCCACTTTCTCTCTAATCCATTAAGCGCAATATCTAACGGAATATTAGTGAACAGAGAAGTAACATCCAATGAAACCATTATCTCTGTTGTGTCAATCGTCATTCCAGTTAATTTATTGTAAAATTCAAAATTAGTACGTCTAATAACATCCTTAAAAAACTACTTTATGGAAAAAATGGCTTGCACTTTATTATTTAATTTTTTACGAAGTTTCACGTTGTCATAATATTATCCTCGAATTTTGGGACACCCTGTATATAATTCATATTATATAACAAGATATATTATTATTTCTAATTAAACAATGATATATTTATGTGGTATAACATATTAATACAACAATGTTAATAAAATATTTTTTTATAATCGTGTGTTTGTTTTATTATTGTATATATAGAAGTGCAAGATATATACTTTATTCCTTATGCAGTTGATATTGCAAGAGGTATTGAATACATGTGCTAACTGAATATATCAATACTGTTGATGCTTTGTTGTCGAGGCAACCGCAGCCATAACGTCCGTTAGTTTAGACATATTACGCTTGTAGCGCATCGTAGTGTCACACGAATATTTGGCAAGTTCGGAATACATTTTTCACTTTTAGAAAACCAAGTGCGGAACTGCTATAGAAAACTTCATTATGAGTGAAAATGTGAAATTTATTGTGACAGAAATAAATAAATTATTAGGACGAAATTACAGTATAATTGGATTTAATATCTTAAACACTGAAGACTTATTACAGGTATTTCTTTTTGGTATTTTATTATTGCAACATTTTCGAAAAATTCCATACATTTTCTCGTAGATATTATGCAGTGTTCTAATGAAGATACAGCAACAAGATTCGGATACCGATATTAAATTGAATTCACCAGAAGAAAATTCTATATACGTCTTAACAGCTCTTCGAATACTTAATTATCAATCTGATGTGGATCCCATACTGTTTAGGTAATAATTAGGTCCTCTAGATACTTTGAACAAAATACATTCATATTTTACCTATTCTATCAGATTTTTTAAAAAGTAGTGCAAAGTATATACATATACAGTTGGTTAAAAGTTTACAAAAGAGAACCCCAACTCCGATGACCTTAACCTTGATATATATTGCTAAGATCACGTTCATGAATAACTTTTAGAAGGTTTTAGTCGTTACTCGTTATTCATTAAAAAGTTATTAACAAATAAAGTTGCAATATAAATATGTTTTAATTTTATAATTTAAACTTTAAATACCATATTAATTGCATATTTGCATACTTATAGGTAAGTGCAGTTTGGACGGGGAAGGGCTTTGTGTAAACACAGTGCATAGTGATTTTAAAAGTTTCTAAACCTGGCCAAAATTATTTTTATGTTATACAGGGTGATTTTTTTAACCTGAAACTTTCAAATATCTCAAAAAATAAGCACACTAAGAAAAAATGTTAAGAATCAATATTTCATCATTCCGAGGGTGACATACACTGACGTTAAAATCAGCCC